GAGAGGAGAAGGGAGAAAGAGAGACAAGAGGAGAGAGGGGAGAAAGAGAGACAAGAGGAGAGAGGGGAGAAAGAGAGACAAGAGGAGAGAGGGGAGAGAGAGACAAGAGGAAGAGGGGAAAGAGAGACAAGAGAGAGAGGGGAGAAAGAGAGACAAGAGGAGAGAGGGAGGAGAGAGGAGAGAGGGAGAAGAGAGAGAGAGGGGAGAAAGAGAGAGGAGAGAGGACGAGAGGAGAGAGGAGGAGAGAGAGGAGAGGGGAGAGAGCATGAAGGAGAGAGGGAGAAGAGACGAGAGGAGAGAGGGGAGAGACACATGAGGAGAGAGGGGAGAAAGAGAGACATGAGGAGAGAGGGGAGAAAGAGAGAGGAGAGGAGAGAGAGGAGAAAGAGAGACAATAGGAGAGAGGGGAGAATGAGAGAGAGAGACAGGAAGAGCCAGAGAGAGAGAGAGAGAGAGGGGAGAAGAGAGATGAGAGAGAGAGAGAGAAAGAGAGAGAGGAGAGAGGGGAGAAAGAGAGATGAGAGGAGAGAGGGGAGAAAGAGAGAACGAGAGGAGAGAGAGAGAGAAAGGAGAGAAAGGAGAGAAGGGAGAAGAGAAACAAGATAGAAGGAGAAAGAGAGATGAGAGGAAGAAGAGGGAGAAAGAAAGAGAGAGGAGAGAGAGTGAGAGAGAGAGAGAGGAGAGAAAGAAAGAGATGAAGGAGAGAGAGAGATGAGAGGAGAGAGGGAGAAAGAGAGACAGAGAGAGAGATGGGAGACAGAGAGTCAAGAGGAGAGAGGGGAGAAAGAGATACGAGAGGAGAGAGGGGAGAGTGAGGGAGAAAGAGAGGAGAGAGAGAGAGGGAGAAAGAGAGACAGAGGGAGAGGGGAGAAGAGACGAGAGGAGAGAGGGGAGAAAGAGAGATGAGAGGAGGAGGGGAGAGAAGAGAGACAAGAGGAGAGAGGGAGAGAGAAAGAGAGACAAGAGAGAGGAGAGGAGAAAGAGAGACGAGAGAAGAGAGGGGAGAAAGAGAGACGAGAGCAGAGAGAGGAGACAGAGAGACGAGAGAAGAGAGGGGAGAAAGAGAGAAGGGAAGAGAGCAAGACGAAAGTGGGAGAAAGGGGAGGAGAGAGGAGAAAGAGGAGGAGAGAGGGAAAAGAGAGAAGGAGGGGAAGGGGAAAGAAGAGATAGGGAGAATGGGAGAGGGGAGGGAGAGAGAAAGTGGGTTAGAGGAGAGATGAGAGAGAGAGAGAGAGAGGAGAGAGAGAGAGAGAGAGAGAGAGAGAGAGAGAGAGAGAGAGAGAGAGAGAGAGAGAGAGAGAGAGAGAACAGAAAGTAGAAAGTAGAATCTGCTCATTATAACTACCAAGATTTTAGGTATAATACAGCACCAATATGGGAACAAAATCTTTCAAATTGTCTAGTCATAAGAGCATACTAGATGCTGGGATCATCTTATGCCCTAAACCAAAACAACTGCTTATTTCAGGTATTAGGCTTATTTGAGTGGGTACTCTCCTGGGTGTGTGTCTTGTAGACCCAGCCCAAACCAACTCTCGTACACAGCATCAAGAACCCTTGCCGGATCATTGCTATGCCATTAGTTCTTATTCTACTTATCGGGATTTTACCATTTTCCAAGATCTTCATTTGTCATTTGTTATTATAGTAGACGAAAGAAGCATCTACTACATAACTGGTGTCTGTATCTCTTAAGGGAGTGATTTTGTGGGTGTGTTCCCACAGGTTTGGCTGGTTGTTGAAGATAGAGTAGAGATCAACAGGGGAGCTGATGAGGTGGCTGCTATTTAGCTGGGTGTTGCTATTCTGAGCTGCAGGTTGCAAGTCGTGGTTATTACATTATGATGTATCAAGAATAGACTGTTTTCAATGATCAGACTGGTAAAATATGTCATAATACTTCATAATATTCAATTTTTCACAACAAACCCTACCCTGCTGGTAAAGGAAGCTAAGAACAGGTTACGGGGTTACTGGAAAGAGAGTCCTCCCTAAAGTTGGTGCTCTTCTATTCATGACGCACTGATGGTACCCTCCTTTACTGGTACAAATAATGCAAGAGCTACTTCCTAAATGATCACAGTGATTCCATGAACATGTCACCCACCACTAAGACACAATATCTCATGACAAGTTCCTATTACCCAGGCTCTCAGCTTCTCGGCTAAATATTTTTGTGATATGGAATACATATCATCCACATCAAATGAATTTAAGTATTGTTTATCTATGCTCTTAACCCATTAACGCCAGCATATTTTGAAGCCGAAAATAATATTTTCCAGGTGGCTACAAAATTAGCACATGGGGCTGACCTGGAATCTGCCCGCAAGCCAGCCATGGCCTGCAACATATTTGGAGCGCAAGCTCTGATCCAACACCACACTGGTCGGACCCCTGGCGATGTTTATTTTTCTGGGTGTCTCATATATGGGACACCCGTCGTAAATGGGTTAATAGGTTAAAGGCTACCTTTTACAGTGCTATATCTGTCCATATTCATATTTCAAAATTTCCATGATTTCTATTACCATCATTGCTTTTGATAATATCTATGCTTTGCAACCATGTAGCAAATTGGACCAAATCCTTCTTCTTCTGGTTTAAAGTTTATTACTTCTGTTTATCAACAAGCCCCTCACTGTCCACAATATCTTCATCATCATCATCATCATGGGGGCTGATGCCGACGGGGGCGCATAGCCGCATCCACCCTTCGCTTCCACCTACGAGGATCCCTCATGGCTAGACGCCAGGCAGGGACTCGGCCCATCTCTAGTTCTTCACGGCAGGTTTGGTCGATCTGCCCAAGCCATGACTTCCTCGGTCGTCCCACAGGCCTCCTCCACCCAGGGTTGTCTCGAATAGAGACGACCTGATGGGCAAGATCATCCTGAGGAAAGCGAGCCAGGTGGCCATATAGCCTGAGTTGGCGATCACGGATTGTGCAGATAACAGGGCTTGTGCCAGTCTCACGGTGCAACCGTTGGTTGGACACATGGTCCCGCCAACAGTACCCCATGATCTGGCGCAAGGACCTATTGCAAAAGGCTTCAAGACGAGCCTCCAAGGCACAGGACAATGTCCAGGTTTCGCTACCGTATAGCAAAACTGGCATTATCAGGGCCTTGAAAACCCGAAGCTTGGTCCTTCTGCACAGGTACCGACATCTCCAAATACTCTTGTTGAGAGAGTTCATGACCTCTGCTGCCAGGCCAATCCGTCTGCTGACTTCATGGTCTGACAGCCCAGAGTTATGAACTACACTACCAAGGTATGTAAAGCTCTCTGTGACTTCAATGTCCTCGCCGCAAGCACGTACCGACTGAACAGGTTCTCCTATCAAGTCCCCAAATTCCTGGACCTTGGTCTTGGTCCAGGAGACCTCTAGACCCAGGGGCTTTGCTTCATTGCTAAATGCATCAAGAGCCGCCACTAGGGTTTCCAAAGACTCAGATAGAATGGCAACGTCAGCAGCAAAGTCAAGGTCTGTAACCTTGATATTGCCCAGCGTTGCCCCACAATGACTTTGAACAGTAGCTCTGCCCAGTATCCAGTCCATGCAAGTGTTGAAAAGAGTTGGTGCAAGGACACAGCCTTGCCTCACTCCTGAACTAACAGGAAAGAAGCTCGACAGGCCCCCACCACACTTTACAGCACTTTCAGTACCAGTATACAGGCTTGCTATTAGTCCAATAATCCTTGTTGGTATTCCTCTTAATAATATCTTAACAATATCTTAATCACTACAATCCAGATGATGTTATGGGCCAGGTGATGTGAACATGCCGTCATCGGGGAAAATGGTTGTGGGCCGAGAGATGCGAACTTGCAGTCATGAGCAAAGGCCAGGGTGACTGAAAAGACTTCCCACGAGTGCACAAACCTCATGGAATATGATTTGACTCATTTGGCAGTTAGAAGGGGGCTTTAGCATTATTCCCATTGATAAATGAATGTGGAATGTAATGTATGTAAGCAGTGACTGGAAGAGCACCGGCTCCAGGGAGGACGCCATTTCCAAGCTGTCCACAGTATTCCTGGCTGCTGTGACTGGTGGTGCAGGTTGTATTAGGGAAAACTGAGAATTGTGAAAAAATTAGATATGTGACACAAATAACCAAATGTTCCATCCTTTTTCTCTTGCACTGAGTTATTTACTACATAGTGAGATGATATACAATCTGTGCTAGGACAATAAGCTATTACTATCTGGATAAAGCAAATCAAAAGACAAATATGGACATTGGAAAATGGCCAAAAGGCTAAAAAGTTTACAGTAAATAACTTTGCAAAGGGAAGACATAGATTCTTGTCACTGCTCATGGGTGTTCATGCACGCCCGGTCTATGCACCGCACACCTGGGATGTTGGCTAGTTACGTAATCCAATGCCCATATTATCAACACTGTGTTTTCCTTGACACAACCGGATCCAATGGGTTAATATTCCATCCTTTGATTTCTATTTCATATTCAGTGTTAATTCCTAAATGAATAACTTTATAAATAAAATCATTTCTCCTGGTTCCCTGAACTGTATCAGCAGTGTACTTTACCAACTAAAAATTGTGATCTCCTGTTCTAAGTACTTCACAATGGTATTTGAATCACACTTTATATAAAAACCAATTTGGTAATATCAGACATCCCTGTCTCGCTCCTCTCTTAATGCTCTAATACTCGAGTCACTTTTCTTAATCTTATAAACCATTCTAACATCTGATACAGTCTTCTCATTGACCTTAGACCTCGCTCATCAACTGAAAAATTCTCCCTCATTCCACACATCTCAACAAAACTTTAGTGCAAACTAGAAAGAAGAGATAACAATCTTTGTTTATAATTTCTATTAGTGCTACCCATTTTACAACTGCATTCTGTCTCTTCTTTTTCCACAAAGCCTATCCGTTTTACTACTCTCTGCAACCTAGTTACTGCTTTAATTCTATTAAGTATCAAACTTGACAAACTGCTTATTCAAAGACAACTAATGACTACCTGAAAACAGTCCCATTTCCTTCCTCCTTGTGGCCATCTCGTAGCGCACTCATAAGCACCACCAATTCGCTTGGGGCTTTCACTTCTGCTGTGTATGTTGCCTTTACTGCTGGTGTATCCTGAAATAAAAAAGAAATAAAATAAAGTGAAAATGAGGAAAATAAATAATAATATAAATATCTATTCCACAATAAGATACATCAAAAGGAAAGCTGTCCAAGTACACAACATAAAGTCAGATATGCTGTTAGGATCCTGAAATACAGCTTTGCCTCACTTAGAATTTTTTAAAGATATTCACTATAAAAACTGTTCCATTTTCATTCATTTCAAAATGAATATAAAATATATGATGCAGTACTTTAGTAAAAGTTCTAGTCTGTTATGAAGGTTGCCTATCATAACATAATCATTACCATTTTATTTCTCTCTCTTTTTTAACCCTTCAGAGACAGGGAAGGCCCTAGCTGTCATGACATAATGGCCTATGTCATATATATTTATCATGACTTCCAATAAGTGGGCTGCATTACATAGCTTAGGCCTAGCCACTGAGTCCATGGACACCCACCCCTAATAAAGCTAGTGTATTATGACCATGCACTTCAATATTAACTATTGTGGTGCTTCATCTTTTCTAAATAAATATATAATAATGTTTATATTTGACTGAAACTAACTGTGCAATTCTCATAATTTTGTTATTGTGCATGGCATGATGGAAGAAGATAATACATTAAATTTTACATTTACATGCCCTGGATTCTGGACCTTCTTATTTGATAGGGATACAAACTCCTTTCAGGATTTCCATCTGCACAATAACTCATTAATAGTAATAGTTTAGTCTTATATTAATTCAACTTAACCCCTTCAATCCGGTTGCATGACGGAAATAACAGAGCTGAAAACCCTGGGCAATGGGTTACATAAGTTGCCAGCATCCCAGGAGTGCAGTGCGTAAGCTGGGTGCGCACGAACTTCCATGTGCGATGACAAGACTCTGTGCCTCCCCTTTGAATAGTTATTTTGTGTAAACTTTTTTAGTTTTATCGTCATTTTCCAATGTCCATATCTGTCTTTTGATTTGCTTTATCCTGATGGTAATTACTTATTTTCCTTGCACAGACTCCATATCATCTTGTTCTGTAGTAAACAGCTCAGTGTAAGAAAAAAAGAAGAAGGAACATTTGGTTATTTGTGTCATATATCTCTTCTTTTCTTTTTGTAATTTTCAGTCACAGTGGTGAGGAATACAATTCACAGTATGGAAATGGCGACCTCCCTGGAGCCGGCACTCTTCCAGTCACTCCTTACACACATTACATTCCACATTCGTTTATCGATGGGAATAATGCTAAAGCTCCTTCTAAGCACCAAATGAGTCAAATCACACAACAAGAGATTTGTACACTCATGGCGAGTCTTTTCCATCACCCTGGCTTTCGCTCTCGACGGTTTATTCACGTCACTCGAGCTGCAGTCCATTTGCCCGGTTGACGGCATCCTCACGTCACCCAGGCAGTTGCCAAAATTTTCCATGGCGTTACCACAACGTCATCCGGGTCCAAGGGGTTAACCATTTTTAAAAACTGGATTCAATTTTCTTTCCATTTAAAAATATTGAGGCTCCTAAAAGTGTTTTTCTGGAATATAATTCCAAGTGAGTTTGATATATTCTATTATCACTTTAGGAAAACTTATCTGAATATTTTGGTTAGATTTCTTAATATAAATATAGAAATGAAAGGGAGGCAAATTACTCTCAAGAAAATCTAAGCATCATTATCAAAATTAAAATATGAACATTCCTACTGCCATTTTTGCTGGCCTATGAGAAAAGGGTACCTATGGGGCTTATCCCATATGTCTTCAGAACCCTATTATCATCTTAATATTTAGTGTAAAATCTGAACATACTGGTAAATAGAAGGAAAAAGAAAAAAAAAAAGAAAGAAAGAAGAAGAAAAAAAAAAAAAATATATATATATATTTTTTTTTGGGGGGGGGGGATTACAAATTCCTTCAGGTTTATAAAGATGCCTTGATGACACATCTGACACTTGGCCTACAGTATCACGTTTGTTATAGTCCTCACTGCCAGCTCAATGCAAATGGTACAAAATGCCTGAATTTTTAAAAAGTCCTTTGTCTCTTCCAGGAACTGTTTTTGCTTGTAATAAACTTTATGTATTAAAGTAAGTAAAGTTGTTCAGGTAATTAATAATGTTAACCAATGCCCCAGTGCTGGTGAAAATCCTGGAAAGCTTTACTAACTCTAAAGTGCATATAAACAGGATGGTGTATACCATGTGTGGAAAATAGGTATGCTTGTTTTCATATACGTCAAGTCCTGTATGAATTGTCCATATGGTAGAAGAGCTATAAATTATGATTGGACTAAGATGATAATGGCATGACATATGTCCTGCCATTCTCAGCATAGCAAGACATATATGCCACACATAGGCAATGAGTTGTAACATTATCCCCAATGCTTATTTCTTGGTCTAGTAGCTGACCTGCCACAAAAAGCATAAAATCTTCATCTTTTGACAAGAGCAATTTTACTATCTGATGTTATCCATTATGGCATTTCTAATTTAATACTTTGTGAATTCAATTACATAAAGAGCTGGTAACAATACCAGAACATGCTTGTGTACTGAAATGGGGGTATAATTGGTAGAAGGGAATGGAATTTGTGGCTACATGTGGTTTATATTAACCACTTCCCACCAAGTGGTGTAAATGGGTTAAGAGAAATTCTTAACTTATACTGCTTTAATTCCATTGTCACAATAGGTGCCAGGTGTTTGTATAATAAATTGGTAAATGTGGTCCACAATATCTCATCTTACCTGACATGGCACCAAAGACCTGCAGTGTATGGCCTGGCACTGTGAGAAGAGATATGGATGTTTTTTCCCTGCTGTTTGTTCTGGATCTAACCACTGAAGTGCAGAGCTTTTGGGGGACACTTCATACTCAATCTGCACCTTGTACCTGAAGTATCAAAAAATCCCTATGGTTAACCAATTGATATTACTACATTATACCAATGCATTTCTTCCTAATAACTTTCACATATTCATATTCAAGATATTCCACAGCTTGTAAACAAGAAATGACAAAATAATTATGCCCTAAATCATACTTTTTCTTGGTGTCTGATGGCAGGTTGATCTTGAATTCGGATCCAAAGTTCGGGTGAGAGTCACCAAGTGTGTACTGCAGGACCTGACCTGTCTCCTCATCCCTCACTGCTTTTATGCTCAAGTCACGAGCATCCAGAATCTGACAATGAAGAGTAATTTCATCACTATTTAAGAGGATTAAGAAAAAAAAGTTAAACAGATACAAGAAAACAGTGTGAAATATAAGATTTCATAACTGTCAATGTATCATTCCAGTATTTTTCCTTCAACTAAAAAATAATGAAGGCAACAGTAAATTTTTTTAGTAAAATAATTCTGCTTCACTTTACTGTCTATACATGCACCATTAGTGTTCATACATATATAAGTATTGGTCCTAGACTTACAAGGTGCTGAGCTTCGTCCTGCTTCCGTTCCACTGTCAAAGTGGCAAAGCCTGAGATGACTTTGCTGGAGAAGTCTACATCCCATTTCAGGTCTATTGATACCACCACAACCTGTTCTGGAAGAGGCAAAGAAGAACTTCATTACTCTGAAATCACTACTATCAAATTCTTTGAAATTCAAAATTTCAGCCCAATCTTGCCTGGCAAATAAAGTGTTCACTGTTGTTTTTTGTGAAATGTCCCTACACATAGATGACTTCAAAAATGCTCAACCATCAAGGAGTCAATTAGTAGACCTTGTGACCTCACTGATTTTGCCTTTTCTTGAGATTTTGTTTTTTAATTTTAAAATATAATGTTATCAATATTGATGCAGATGTCATTATAGATATTATAATCATCATAATGCTATTGACATTACTATCAGTAATATAATGGTTAATGATTAATGGTTAAAATGAATAAATATGCTAGACATTAAAGGTCATATGTTAAAGCATTGTAGCAAAAAGGGTAAAGTGAGTTAAAGGTTAGGACAAGTGTTAGATGTCAATGGTTGTAACGCACTATAGGATAGTAAAGAAGTAAAAAAGGTAAAGTGGGGAAGCAATTGGAGTAAAGTGTAATTTAATAAAGGAGGAAAGGGGTTAAGGGTTGAAGGGTGATTAGATCAAATGGATAGTATCTATGCGTCTGAGGAAGGAAGATGAATGTTGTACGAGGAACGCTGCAAGAGCTATTACTAAGCAATTAGCAGGTAGAAATGTCTGAGAAGAATCCTAGGAATGAGATAGGAACAGAGGAATGAGGTGAAGTATCAGGAAGAAAGTCAGGAGGGGAAGGATCTGGAGAGAGTGGGAGGGAGAGGGGTAGGGGGAACTTGAGGAGGGGGAGGATGGATATTGGCAATTACTTTGAATGTAGAAGGAATGGTGATTGGAGGGAGGTTGGGAGAGAGGAGCATTCTCTTGGGTTATTATTTAGGTTAGGAAGATACAGATGTCCTCAAGAGTTTCTGGAGAGAAGTTTGGCAAAGAGTTCTGAGAAAAAGCTTTTATGAGGAGAAATGGAGACAATTATTCGAGGAGCAGAGAAAGTTGTGGGTGTAGGAGAGGGTGCAGTGGGAGAAGATTGGGTGGAACATTTAGATTGTCTAATGTAATAGGTAAAGTGAGAGAATGAGGTGTAGGCATCAGGCAAGTGGTAGATATTGGAGTCTCTGGATGTAGACTGGGAGAGGGAGTAGAGGTAGGATGGTAAGGGGTAAGGGGGAAGAGCTATTGGGGCAGGAATCTTGGGAATAAGGGAGAAGATGAAGCAATAGACATTGTTGGAATAGGAAGCCAGAGAACAAACTTGTTGACAGGCTTCCTGTATATTGACCAAGTAGAGGAGGAAAGGGGTCTGGCCTCGTGTAAAGTGATGCATAGTTTGAGTCTAAGAATTGCTACCTCAGACTTGAGCTCGTAGGCAGGGCAGCTCCTATAAAATACATAATAGGAGCCATCACAAATGACTGTAAATTTGAAAAGTCACAACAAGCTTGGGCATAGAGAAAGTAGCAGGCAATTGGAGAGACAGTGCTTAGCAGGTTAGCCATAACGCCAACATTTCTGACATTGGCACAGAAAGCATCAATATGGACAGCGTAGGTCATTCCATCAATATAAACTTCAAAACTGTAAAAATAGGGAAGGTAGCGGGGTAATGGGGAGGACAAAATGGAGTGGGGGGGGAGGATAATAATAATAATAATAAAAAAAAAATTGCTGATTTTCTTTAAATTTGGCTATATTATGTATTTTTCCATTCTGCACCTTTTGGTACTAAATTTATACAAATCCCCCATAGCCTCCTCAAAAAACTTTTTTCAGCCATTTTTTCTACATGTCGCTAGTGTACTACTATTAGTAAAAATCAGCTTAACTATTGATAAAATCCAAACAGACTGATGCTTCATTTTCTACAAAATTTGCTACAAAAGTTTTCTCAAAAAAAAAAAAAAAAAAAAAAAAAAAAAAAAAAAAAAAAAAAAAAAAAAAAAAATCTACATTTGTACAAATGCCAACATCACTTTGCACATTTTTAATAGCTGTCAAATGATAACATCAATATTTTAATCAGTAAAATGTTTGTGAATAGTGATACGGAATGTTATATTATTTCTTTTCCTTTTTCGAGGAGGGAAAGATTGGACGTTCCAGTTATTTTTCTGTTAATTTCCTTAAATCAATCTCTATCATCTAATTACCAGAAAAACTACATTCATTTCTCTTCTAATGCTGATTGTTAGATGAAGACATGGAGATTGGTTCCTAAGTTATGACAAATTTAGTAAAGTGACTCTTACAAAAAGTTGAAAAAACAATTTTTTGGAATATGATGCAATGCAAAAACAAGATTATTGTGAGTAATAGATCATGGTCAACTTCTGAGGAATTTCATTAGCTTTCCAATGATATGAACAAATCTTAGACTGGATATAAACTGTTTGAGAATAGTGGTACAGAAGCTCAAAAACTTATTTTTGAGGAAAAATTGTGAATATTTTTGGAAATTTTCTGAATCTTTCCTTCAATGGATATTCATTATCTATTCCTTCAATAAAAATTATATCTAATTAACTATAAAACTACACACATGAATAAGGGTTAATTGTTAATAATTGAAACAAAAAAATGTGCTAGACATCTAAGGTCATATCTTGTGGAGATGGGGGATGGCAAAGAAGCAAAGGACTGTTTTGGAATAGGCAGAAAGAGAAAAACCTCGCTATCATGCTTCCTGTCTAGCCTCACGTAGAGTGAGGTCTAATCTGAATCTGAAAACTGCAACCTTAAATTGAGCTTACAGGCAGGGCCGCTTACATAAAATATGTTAAGGCCGTGTCACACTAGTACTTTTTCCGTAAATTTTTTGACAATTTTATTTAACATAAATACAAACATTCTCAAATCTAGCTCTTGATTTGACTATGCTTGGCTGAAAAAGTTGATGGAGAGGTTTTCAGACGGAAACGGTCATTATTGTCTGACTGGAAAATCGACAATTCGCTCAAAAATGGAGAAAATTTCAGAAAATTGTAAAAAATTGGCGGAAAAAGTGCTAGTGTGACAGCACCTTTATGGAAATCACCACACTGGCCTCTGGGAGCAATAGTGTAACACTGTACTGCCACTGCATCATAATCAGCAAGGCAGGTAAGGAGGCCATTTTTACTATCTGACCAGTCCTTGTTGTAGACAGGACAAGCATTTGGGGGAATAGAAACAGTTCCTGTACAAGTATTATGAGAGAGGTGAGGTTCAGCAGGTATGGGTTTGCCAGTAAGGTCAGTTAGGGTAGATAGTACACAAGCTTGGGATTTATATGTAACTGGGACAAGGCGTGAATGATCAGAGCGAATCCAAACAGTAACCTTGGATCAAAAGAATTGATCCAAAAGAATTGGGGGGGGGATAGGGGGTTGAGATTGAAGAGTTCTGGGGGAAGAGGGGGTAGACATTGAAGAGGACTGTGCAGTAGGAGATGGAGAGGAGAATGCTGGGAGAGAGGAAGAGGTGCTTTCTGGGGGTTGAGTAATAACCTGGGTATATATATAGTGTTCTGGAATGGATAGAGTTGTCAGTAAGCATCGAAGAGGGGGTATTAGGATCCGTGGTTTGAGCTGTGGTCAAAGGAGGAACAGGGGTCGGAAAACCATCAAAATCAAATTTAGATAGGCTAGTTGATGAAAGGACAAGTCTTAATGCCCCTATTAAGGATAAAGAATCTTCACTATTGGCCATTGTGTACCTGAATAAAATGGGAAAAAGAAATGGTCAACCCCTCAGGGCCCCCCATAAGGGGTAAGGGCTTCATAATTAACCAAGGGAATAATATGCCCATGGCTCCCGAAAGCCGTTCATGACTGACACAAAGCCAGCCTTTCATCCTTTCAGCATGGCTCTCACACCTAAGGAATGGGATAGAAGAAGGGGATGAAGAAGATACAAAATGGGAAAGGAGAGAAGAAAAGACCAAGCAAAATTAGTTGAGAAGAGGGCTGAGGTCTAAGGTAGGGTGATCCCCTACATTGGGCCTCAGTCTCTGTCTCCTAACCCCTCCGATGACACCAAGAATGACTGCCTAAGATTCACTGAACCTGTCACAGCTGAGTTTTTTTTTATGGAGGTTTATATTCAGGTGAGAAATTCTACATTCCTATACGAGTGTGAAAATGGGTTTAACTCATTTTTTACAAACACAACCCCCCCAGACTCCACAAACTCCCAATTCTTACGGATGTTCCCCTTAAGAAGGAATGAGGTTAGGCAGGCAATAGGCTTACTTGAGTAGTCACTCTCACAGGCATGTGGCTTGAAGGCCAGATACACATGAACACTTATAACGCCTTGCCTCCCCTTGACAGTTGCTGTTTCTTTCTACATAAGCTTTTTTACTTTTTTGCCATTTTTCAATGTTTGTATGCTGTATACTGATGGTAAAAGACTGTTTTCCTTGCACACACTCAATATCACCTCTTTAGGTAATTAATAACTCAGCTTGTAAATAATAGTAGTAATAATAATAACTAATATCTGGTCATCTGTGTAATTCTCATTTTTTTTCTAATATTCAATTTTCTGTGATACAACCTGCACTAACGGTACATAGGATTAGGATCCCGAGCACTGAAATAATGTCCTCCCTGGAGCTGGCACTTTTTCAGCCATGACTCATGGATGGTACAGTCCACACTTATTTACTGATAAAAATAATACAGGAGCCCATTACAAAATACCCACAGAGTCTTATCACCCTCCAAGAGTTTTGTGAATTCATGGCAAGTCATACCAGTTACTCTAGCCTTCTGCCAAAATATTCATGTTGGTGTTTTCCTGTCACCTCAGTCCTCAGACAAATTTGTCCATGAAAGCATGTTCACACCTTTTATCCTCTAGCCAAATTTTTTCATAATCTGATGGTCACATCACCCAGACAGTAGGGATTAAAGGTTACTTGATACAAATATGATATTTGCTGCAATTTCTTCAACTTTCTTCCTTCACTGGTAATAAATAACCTAATGTTTTGTTGTTTACTCTAATGAATCACTATTTGGAAATGAGCCATTAATAAGAGGAAAACCATTCCTGAATATTTGATTCCTTAACAGACATTCAATAATGAAAACTACCCAATAGTGAGGAAGGATAGTTTCAAGCTGCTTACTGTTCTGAGCCAGTTTTTGTATTGTGAAGACATGTGTGACTGCTGTATTAGTTCCAGAAGAGGAAATACTTAGACAATGTGGGACATACATTGACAACACAATCATGGAGGTTTATCATCAGTGTGGAAAATGTTTGCTATCCTTTTCAAAAAGTCGTGGAAGTACTATAATCACAAATGGTACACCATATAAGTGATTAATTAAAATGTTCTAAAATTACATTCATAACATTTTCATTTAACATGCGGCTGATATCAAATTCAACCCAAGCCTTTAAATGGATCATCCAAGCCCTATGAATGGAAATTTAGGTTAATCTAGAGGACATGGATTTTTAGTAAAAAATATGAAATGCTACTAAAAAAGAAGAATATGAAAACTCATTAAGAAAGTAAAATCTAAAGCACAGAAAGACATAATTAGATCACAAGATTATAATAAAGTTGCTAAAATTTGTCACTCGGAGACTGTATTTCCTTCTTCATTTATCAGCAATGAAATAAACCACACTCAGATGGTGCTCTGGAAAGTAGTATGTCTGCTACCATCTTTTGTTTGATATATATTTATGTGTTATGATTTACAGTCCTTTACATTTCAATTTAACTAATTTCTCTAATCTATTTACATTTTACGCACTTCAAAATATGGTGTGATGTCACAGTACAATGCAATGATACACGATTCATCAGTGCCATCTGATACAAAAGTCGTGTCACTGTGGTTGTGCACATTCAAACTTGTGCAGTGTGTAATGAACTGGTGAGATGTTTGGTTAATCTTTATGGTACAGACACACTAAGGTAGGGCAAACTGAAGATGATATTCTTATAGAGGACTAAAAGTAGTAGTTATTAGTATAAATAGTAATCTGCAGACAAGCACACTATTGCCACAGAGGATGAAAAAAAAATTGCGGAAAGTGCCACTCTCAGCCTTGCTCTCCAAGGGTGTTGGGAGGGCAGAGCCTCCCCATCAACCCTCTCCACTCAGGGCAACTTGTTGAATAAATTTTGTGAAGTGGAGTTGGGGACACAGTCTCTGGCTATTGCTTCTGTACTGTAAAGAATTACCAAATGTTTCCTCAGTGGTATATCATACAAAACAACATGGGTTACGTAAGTGGCTGCACAGCCGTGTATGTGGCACTTGTGAGTGGTGACAACTCTATGCCTCCCCTTTGCAAAGTTATTTTGTATTATCTTATTATGCTTAATTTTATTTTTGATACTCATTTCCAA